GGCGAGACCCCTCCCCGGGAAGTGGGACCGTATCCCTTGGGAAGAGCGCCTGCAGCAGGACGGGCTCCGGGGGGAGACGGGGCACAGAGCACCCCTGAAATGCACCTTCACGCCGTGCCCGGGCACTCCTGGGGCCATGCGCAGGAAGGGGCAGTTCAGACACGATCCAGCTCTCCGAAAGCTTGAAGGGCTTTGGCAGACACCAGTTTTTCTCAAAAAGGGTTTTCCTACACCAGTTTTCCTAAACCAGCTGTAAAGGGAGGCTGAGGGGGCTTTGGTATAAAACAGGATGCAGCTGCATCCACAGCCTGCTTGGGCCTCCTGGATACTGGAAAGCTTAATCCAGGGAGTAAGAGGCAGATTTTTAAGGCTTAATCCTGTTTGCAGTTTGCATGACAAATGGATGCAGACAGCATCCTTTCATCCTTCCTAGCAGAGCAGGGAACTCTGCCATCTCTGGCCAGGGTCACTAGAACACTGGAGTTCCTCTTTCCCAGGAAAGCCTTGCCTCTGCCTGGGTGCAGTGGGTGTGCAGAGGGAGGATGTATTAGTGCTGCTTTTCAAAGAAAATGGTGGGTTTTATCAAACGACATCCGTAAAAGCATTCTAAAAATGCATTCCCATTCCACATGGGCCAAAGCTTTAAATCAGGAAAATGGGAAGAAATTATTTTTTTATTGAAGGATGCAACTGAAATAATGATCCTTTGGGATTCTGCCTGAAGGTTTCTAGGCCTCAAAAGGTAAGGGTGAGCTGTGTGGAAAATCTACTCAAGTCTTCATGCAGTGATTTAGTGGAAGGAAAAAGAAGGAATTTCCTTGTCTTGCCACTTGCTCTGGCAGTTTCCTGGGGAAAGGTGTCAGCATTCTGATCCCAAAATGCAGCAGCCAACTCAGGGCTGGAGGATTTGGAGCAGAAGGGTCTGTTCCCGACCTGTGTAGGTGTTAGGGAGAGCTTCCTCCCTGCAGGCGCTCTCCTCTGGGATGCTGGTTCCCCATCCCCCTGCCAGCCTGCCTTGTCACCCTGTGCAGGGACACCCCAGCCCTGCTCACCCCTGGGCTCACGGTCACAAACTGGCACAAAACCTGCCTGGATGCCACCTTTGCCAACTCCTTCAGCAGCTGGAGCCTGGCCAGGCTGGGGGGGCTTCAGAGGAGCTGGGAGCTGCTTTGGGGTCAGCTTCCCCAGAGCTGGAGCAGAGGGAGAGGAGCAGAGTCACAGGGGGATTTATCCTCCTCCTGCATCCCTCTGCCAGGTGTCAGCACCAGCTGAGCCTTGGAATGAGGTGGATGGCATAAAAATGTCCCAGAATGAGGGCAAAGCAGAAGAAAATGTATGTTTTTTTGTAAATGTTTTCCAACCAAGCATTTATCCCAAAGTTTCTAATTTGGAAAAATGAGACAAAAAAAAATTATGATTATTGTGAAATGAACAGGGGTGACCTAAAGGGAGGGGTTGGGGGAGAAGAGAAAATCCTCCAAAAATCCTTGCAGGGGGGTCACCCACACATCCCTCCTGAGCTAATACCTGCCCTGACCTTCTCTCCTCTCCCAAGGTTTCATTGATTTGGGTGTGGAGACCTGGGGAAGGGTCCAGGATGGCAGATGCTTGGCAGTGCCAGGGTTCCAGATACTGGCATCCCCTGCCTGCAGAACGAGGCACAGAGCGATGTGTGGGATAAAATTGCCCCATCAAAATCTTGTCATATCAAATTCTTGCCACAAAGGCTTTTCCAAATAATGGTTTGATTCCTTTCCAATGATAAATTTGGAGTTCCCTCTCCTGTCCCTGCGCTCTGGAGGGCCTTGGGCAGACAAGGGTGAAGCCCTGTGGTGCCAGGGAGGGCTCCTGGCAGGCTTTGTGCAGTTAAACCCCCCGTCTCCCCTCCCCAAGACGAACCCAGTGGGTACCACTGTGTGCCAGGGACATGCTCGGCTCTCACCTCCGGAATGCCGGCGCGGCATCGGTGGCAGAAGCGGATCTCCCTCCCTCCATCTCCGTTTGTCCGTGGAGAAGTGGGAGAGACCCTGCGGACCGTGGTCCTCCTCGCCCACGCTGTGCCCCCCCGGCCCGGCGATGCCCGATGTACCGGACGCGCACCTGAGCTCTTTGCACGGCCTTTGCTTTGGAAATTAGGCGGGATAACGACGTCTCATCGCTCTTGTTTTGTATTTCAATTTTTTTTTCCTTCATAAAAAAGAAACTCAACCCAACTCACCGAGGTCTGCCCTGCTGGGAGCGACACGGCAGGAGGGCCCAGCAGAGCAGTTTTCTCCAGAGACCCCAGCGGGGAGGCGGCGGCCAGACCCCCCTGGCACTTGACGCCACCGGTGCAGAGCAAACCCTGAGCGGGGAAAAAAACCAAAAAAACATTTTTGCTCATGGACTTCACGCCCTGACTCCCAAGTTCACACTTCTGCCTGGCAGCTGAGAGCCTGGAAAAACAGGAAATCCAAGACAC